GGGGGGGGAGTGAGTCTTCTCTTATTAGTACGTGTTCATTATTAAAAATATAAAAGAACTAGCTTGTCTAGAAGCACAAGGTATAGCCAGCCCAAAAATACAAAAGAATTACGAGGTAAGAAAACAACAATTTGAATGTGTGGTGAAAATGAATACTAAGTTAGATATGGATACAGGAAAAGCACTCCGTGATTTTATATTGTGTGTAAAATAAATATAACATCAATTATAATTTTATTCGATTTAAAATTAATTAATTACATTAATTATTTTAGAACTATATAAAACATTTATTTCAAATTAAAAAAAATTACTGTGTCACATTTTATATTATTTGTGTAGTACGATATAAAATATTATATTTTAAGTAATGTTATATATATGTTTATATTAATTATAGAATACAATTTTTTTATTAATATAAAACATAAGACAAATAATAAAAGGTTTGAATCTACCGCAGAAAAGGCATAAGACTGGAATTAAAAAGAAATTGAATGCTCATCAGAAATATTAAAAAATTAATATAGAAAAATCATGTCACATTACGTAGTGGCTAGCTATCTCATTCATATTAAGGCGATCATGTGGTACGCGTCCCTCTTCCACTTTATGGCCACAATTTTTTTTCTTCGTTTACATATATATGTCACATATGAACAATTTTGAGAGAAGGAAAACAATTTTAAGCTAAGGCATCAGCAATATGAGTACCCCTTCACGTTTTGTAACTCTATTCTTTGTACTCATTGTATTGTTGATACCCTTAGTCTCCTTTCTCAACAACGACTTCTCCATCTTCCCACTCAAAACCATTTCTCACTTGTTCAATGGAAAGCCAAACCATTCCAATGCTACCATCACGTATAATGGCGCACAAAAAGAAAAACCTCGTCCTTGGAGAAAAGCCTTCATGGGTTTCAAAGACATCAACAACGACCAATATTCTCGAGCAATATCCCCAAACATAAGCAAGTGTTTTCCCGTGGAGTTACCTCCTAACCCGGTTACATCCACCAATTGTTGTCCACGTGAAATATCCACCTCAAAGTTCATAGACTTCAACGATTTTGCTTCTCCAAATTCCACACTCAGAGTGAGAAAACCCGCTCACTTGGTCGATGAAGAATACATAGCAAAACTCGAAAAGGGCATTGCCCTAATGAAAGCCCTACCCCATGACGACCCACGAAATTTCATTCAACAAGCCAAAGTCCATTAATTGTGCTTATTGCAACGGAGCGTATCACCTTTCCCATCCCTTATCAAGACACCCCCATCGACATTCACGGATCGTGGCTCTTTTTCCCCTTCCACCGTTGGTACATTTATTTCTTCGAAAGAATCCTCTCAAACCTAATGGGTGACCCCAACTTTGCCCTACCATTTTGGAACTGGGACACCCCAGAAGGGATGCAAATGCCACCCTGTTTCACAAACCCTAACTCCTCCCTCTATCATGAACTCCGAAACGACAACCACTTGCCACCCCAAGTCGTTGACCTATTCTACGGTTCAACTCATAGCGACGATGCCACACCTTCTCATAAACAAGTCTTGTATAACCTAGTCACCATGTACAAACAAATGGTGTTAGCAAGTACCAAGGAACTTTTCATGAGAAGCCCTTTCAGACTCGGGGATCAACCTCGTCCTGGAATAGGTTCCGTTGAGGCTGCTCCTCATAACACCGTTCACACGTGGGTCGGTGGTGCCGACACACCAAACCACGAGGACATGGGAACGTTCTACACAGCCGCTAGAGACCCCGTTTTCTACGCTCATCACGCGAACATGGACCGAATGTGGACGTTGTGGAAATCACTGGGAGGAGAAGAAAGAAAAGACTACAGCGACGACCGTGATTGGTTAGACTCCGAGTTTTTCTTCTACGACGAAAACGCCAACCTCGTACGCGTCAAGGTACGAGATTGCGTCGACACCACAAAGCTAGGGTACGTTTTCCAAGACGTGGATCTTCCGTGGCTGCGCACGCCACCCACTTCACGAAAGAGTAAGCTCCTGAGAAAGGGCTCAAGGTATTCGAAGACGAGAGAGTTTCCTTTGGTGTTGGACTCCATAGCGAGTGTCATTGTGAAGAGACCGAGGAGAGTGAGGAGTGAGGAAGAGAAGGAGCAGGAAGAAGAGGTTTTGGTGATCGAAGGGATCGAGTTTGGGAGTGAGAGAGGTGTGAAGTTCGATGTGCATGTTGATGATGATGAAGAGAAGCTGAGTGGTCCCGATGAGACGGAGTTTGTGGGAAGTTTTGTGAGTGTGCCCCACGCACACAGGCATAGGGTCAGCACTAGCTATAAGATAGGGATGTCGAAGGTGCTCGAGAGTTTGGAAGCTGAAGAAGACGATCATGTGTTGGTTACTTTGGTGCCTAAGGATGGAAAAGGAGCGTCACCATACAAAGCATCAAAATTGAGTTTATTCCAAAATTCTAAACCTAGTTTTTTTTTTTTTTTTAGTCTGCAAATTACACTTTTGGCAAGTTTTTTTTTTTATTCTTTTAAATTGTACAAATATTATTGGTGGTTTAGAGTTTAGGGTTTAATTATTATAGCAAGTGGATCGATCCACTCTTGGATTTCGTCCGCATAATATTTTACTCAAATAATGGTCGTTGGTGGTGAAGTATGTCTTTGAGTAGTGTTTATATAAATAAAATTATTATGGAGCAAATTACTATTAATTAAGACCAACAATTTATCAAGTAAATATTGAGTTTGGTGTAAAGTTATGCTTAGATTTCACTCTCTCTTTATATTATGAAAAGTAAGTTTAGTAAAATTATTGTTATTTGGATAGTTTTTATCAAAAAGCATGTGAATTAATTACAATCATATAAAAGCCTATACTAAAATTATAAAATAATTTTATCCATTTATTTGAATTACGGAGTATTAAATGATTTATATATATATATATATATATATATATATATATATATATATATAAGGAGAGATCTATTTATTCTAGGAGTAAGTTTACTTAGACTTGCACTGTTCCCTCGTAGCTTTTTTTACATGAATCTTGCATGCATTACATACATTACCTTCGATTCCCTTTAAATGTCTTAATTTTTCGAATTTTGCACTAACCTTTCCTACTTTTTTGAGTCTTCCAAAATCTTTATTTTTCACATTTTCTTTTCTCTAGGCAGCCCAATCTACCTTTCATAGTCACTGTTTTTCTTTCGTTCCTTCTCCCCCTTTCTTTTCTCTCTCCATTTTCCTTTTCTGATCACCACATTTGCATATTTTCGACGTAAAGCTTATCTCTGTTATAATCAACTCATGCTCTCTTTTCCCTAGTTTCCGTATGCTGCATGTGACCTTCTCTGTTTTCTCTTACTTTCACTCCTCTGCATATTCTCTTTTAACCCTGTTGTTTCAGCTTTAGCCAATGTTCAAGCTCGTAACCGCTATGGACTCTGTGGAAGAAGACCTTGAAGGCTTAATCATCAAAGATGATAATGACGGAGGCACCTCTAACCTGGTTAACCTGAGTCTTGTGGGTCGCTTCCTTACTGACAGACCCATCCGTACTCATATAATGAAGAACCGTATGGCTAGCATATGGCGTCCTGGTAAAGGAGTCTCCATTTCTGAACTTAAACCAGGTGTCTTCCTATTTCAACTTTACCATCCTTTAGACCTTAAACATATCCTTGATAATGGTCCCTGGAACTTTGAAAACAACATCCTCATTGTAAGCAAAATCTTTGAGGGAGACATTCCAAAAGATACCCCTTTAAACCATATAGATGTTTGGGTCCAAGTCCATAATTTGCCTGCAGGTTTTATGTCCCAAAACATAGGTGAGCATCTGGGAAATAGCTTAGGAAAATTTCTTGAATATGACTCTAAGCACAACACTTCTTTATGGAAATCCTATATGCGTATTCGCATCAAAATAGACATTCGTTCCCCTCTGCAAAAAGAAAAAAAAATTAAGAAACAAGGTGGAGAATGGAAGACCGTTATTTTCAAGTACGAAAAAATTGGCCAGCTTTGTTACTTGTGCAGAGGGGAACGATGGCTTCGTGAAGACAACATTACCACAAACGACAACTATAAATATCAAGACAGCAATCACAAAACTACAGACCCTGCCAATGACTCGCACCCACGCGATAATGAGGTTATTATAGGAGTAGACAAGAAACGTAGAAGACACGAACCTAGCATCAACCCAGAGCATAAAAAAGATTTCATCCAAGCTGACATGGTTGACTCCAATGAAGTAAACAATCTGACTTTTTTAACGGCAGTCCCTGGCACCTAGGGCTGCCAGGATTTATGAGTATAACAATACAAGCCCGATATACTCTTTTTGAGTGAAATGATGGTCAACTCCGATAGAATCAAAGATTTGTGCCACATGCTGAACTTCAACCACTGGTATGCTGTGGATAGGTCTGGTCGTGGAGGTGGGCTCGCTCTACTATGGAAAGATACCTTCGACATTACTATTACCCAAGCCAATCCTAATTACATTAACGTAAATGTCAAAGATCGTAACAACATCCACTGGAGGCTCACAAGCTTTTATGGCTATCCCGAGAGGCGTAAGAGGAAAGACTCTTGGGACCTGCTTAGACATCTCACATCTCTCTCAAACCTCCCTTGGTGTATCATTGGGGACTTTAACGACTTACTATCATCCAATGACAAAAGAGGTACGAACCCTCATCCCCACTACCTGATCCAGGGTTTTCGTCAAGCCACAATGGATTGTGGCTTAGAAGACCTTCCCCTTATTGGTCATCCGTTTACATGGATCAAAGGAAACCTCCCAAATAACCCGGTTGAAGAACGGCTGGACAGAGCGCTTGTTACTAAAGATTGGCGCCATTTATTTGCGAACTGCCTCCTATCAAACGGTGTTGCTGGTAAATCCTATCACTCTCAAACTTCAAGCTAACCTCTTTAACCCTCTGCATAAGTACTTTCACTTTGAGAACATTTGGCTGGAAGACCCTGATATCGAGCGTGCTGTTAAATACGGCTGGAGCTACCACAACAAAGAAGGCGTTGAGAATAAGATCAACTCCTGTAGGAAATACCTTCGTATCTGGAGTAGACAGAAGCATGTTTGTGACACCCTTACTACTCCAACACATATATTGTAATAATTGCAGTGGCCATGGTGGTTACAGGGATAGTCGCCATAGTAGGAGATGTGGTAGTAGCTAGAACTGGAGATGAAGCGGAGACAGTAGTAGGAGAGGCGGTAGATGCTATAGCAGCGGAAGTTGATGTAGCAGAAGAAGCCATTGAAGCACGAAAGCGAAGAACTTGGGAAGGAAGGTAAGAAAACAAGGTACACAGAGTCCACCGGAGAAGGAGATCAAGAAGCATGGTAGAAAGGAAGCAGGGAAACTTAGGCGCGAAGAAAAGTAATGGTAAAAATGATTTGAAAGAAGGTAAAAAATAGAGCTTTAACGTGTTGATGGGCCTAAGGTGAAACGGTTTGGATAAAATAATTCAAAATTTAAGTTGAAATTTGTAACAGCCGCTAAAACGGTCATTATGATGAAACAAATTTACGGAGTCACGTGAGCACGCGCCGTCAGTACCATCAATGCAGCATCAAACGGCCATATGCATTAAATGCAGAATAGGGTATAGGTCAATAGGTTTTCATCGAAAAGACTACCCATTGACATATAGGAGATAGATTGGAGAGCATCAAAGAAAAATCTTGATAGGAATTCAATTCTCCTCCCATCCAGCATGCTCATCAAAACTGAATTCCTAGGGGGGCATTTGTTAGGGCTGCTCGAAATTATAGGATTCGAAAAGTTGGATTGATAGTGCTACTCGAGAGAAATATAAACGTCAAATCAAACACATGTTGAGAACGTATGACAAGCCCTATTTGTTTGTGCTCGAGGTATGGTCGAATAAAAATAAGGACTACTCGAAAATAGATGAAGGTTTCCTGAGGCTAGCCCAAAACAATTAGGTAGATAGGTCAGAGCGGTTACTAAA